GGGCCCGGGCAAGGGCCGCTTTCTCGTGCGCATCTGTTTCCAGGGAGACGAGGGCGCCTGCCCGACCCGGGACTTCGTGGTGGGCGCGCTCATCCTGCGCTCCATCGGCATGGACCCGAGCGACATCTACGCGGTCATCCAGATCCCTGGCAGCCGCGAGTTCGACGTGAGCTTCCGCTCGGCGGAGAAGCTGGCCCTGTTCCTACGCGTCTACGAGGAGAAGCGCGAACAGGAGGACTGCTGGGAGAACTTTGTGGTGCTGGGGCGGAGCAAGTCCAGCTTGAAGACGCTCTTCATCCTCTTCCGGAACGAGACGGTGGACGTGGAGGACATCGTGACCTGGCTCAAGCGCCACTGCGATGTCCTGGCCGTGCCGGTGAAAGTGACCGACAGGTTTGGGATCTGGACCGGGGAGTACAAGTGCGAGATCGAGCTGCGCCAGGGGGAGGGCGGGGTCAGGCACCTGCCCGGGGCCTTCTTCCTGGGGGCCGAGAGGGGCTACAGCTGGTACAAGGGGCAGCCCAAGACGTGCTTTAAATGTGGTTCCCGGACCCACATGAGCGGCAGCTGCACACAGGACAGGTGCTTCAGGTGCGGGGAAGAGGGGCACCTCAGCCCTTACTGCCGGAAGGGCATCGTGTGCAACCTCTGTGGCAAACGAGGACACGCCTTTGCCCAGTGTCCCAAAGCAGTTCACAATTCCGTGGCAGCTCAGCTAACCGGCGTGGCCGGGCACTGAACACCCGCTTGCCTGCCACGGTGAACACAGAGCCAGCTTACCCCTCTTAAGTGCCAAAACTTTTTTTAAAACCATTTTTTAATCGTTTTTGAAGGAGATTTTCCTAAACCTACGAGAGACATCTCGCTCTGCCTTCCTAAACCGAGTTTACTCCACGTCAGCCTTTCCTGAATTTGGTGACTCTGTCATCAGTAACACTACCGAGAACTGTCGTGTGCAGATATGTCACCCCTTCCTTTTTTATATTTTGTTTTTATATTTGTATTGGGGGATTTTTTTTCTGGTACCTTTTACTCCCCACGCCTTGTCGTCTTCCCATATTTTCACCCTCTGGGCTGCCATGTTCACCCTTATGCCCCAGCGCTAGTGCGCTGCATTAGGGCCCAGCACATGGTAGGCACGCCACCATTGTTTGTTGAATTGAGAACATTGTTGACTGTGGCTTCTGTCAGGGTGTCTATCTTTTGCAACTCGTCCCTTCCCCTTTTAATTTGCTGCTTCTAATCTATGTGGTCTGAGAATTTGTGAAACCAGTGTTGTTAGAAGTGTATGTAATCTGAGTCAATAAGCTCTGAATGGTGGCCAAGGGCCTCTCTTACGGCATTAAAATGCTTGGATTTTGTGACAGCGCTTTTGGTGGCTCAGAAGCCATTCTTCACAGAATCATGGAATCTAGAATTTTCCTGCTGAAAAAGATGGAAAAATTGATTTTGACCAATCTCTGGTTTTCCAACCAATGAAACAGATACAGAGAGGTTAAATGAATATGTCAAAATCACACCGCTGTCTGGTGCCAGAGCTAGCCTAGAGTAGAGTTCCCTGCCCCCAAGCCTGGTGCTCATTTCACTACCTCTCACACTTCACAACATTTTCCTCAACACTTGAGGGTCCAGAAAGTCTGCTCTCCAGAATAATGAGCCCAGGAGAATGCTAAGAAATCACCTGGGGGAGAAAGCAGAAGATTTAGCAGGGGCTTTTGAATTCTTAGTAGATACGGAAGGGACAAAGGAACATAATCCAGGGTGTGCTCCTTGCTCCTTGGGGTACCATATCTGGATTAAGGTGGGCCAGGTCCTCTGTGGCCTAACCCTTCCCCACGCATTGGCATCAATGAGAAATAGAGGTGCTTCTGAGTAAGGAACCTACCAAAGGTTTACATTTGCACCTTAGCCTCAGTAGCTATAAACCCCAGAGAAGCAGCTCACTGGAGCTCATCTGCAACCTCCTGACTCTAAAGAGAAAGGCAGTTTTAACCGGAATTATTATAAGTGAGCTGTTAACTCTAAAATGTACTTGTGAACTAGGCCAAGCAAAAGGGCATTGGGCCAACTAAGTGTTACAAGTTAAAGTAGAAAAGACAGTATGCTGCTTTTTCTTTTAGTTTTTTGTCTTTCCTTTGCTTTATGTTTTGCTATTTCCTTGTGGCTTAGAATGTAAAATCGATTGTTAAAAGTTTTGTTCTGAATAAATATTTATCTTTTGTATTACTAACACTGCTGCACTATTTCTTTTCCCAGTGTTAGATGCATAGGTACACAGATTCTGGTTTCAACCCAGGCTTCCTACACACCATTTGTTTACCCTGCAAATACGTACCCAGCCCCTGCAGGCAACACTTAACACCTACTATGTTGTCCCAGGCCCTAGGAAGTTGTTATCTAGCCCTGTGCGTCACAGTCGCTTAGCACACTGCTAAGCCCTAACTCAGCTCCCAGGAATCAGAATCACTGGAGTGAGTGAAAATATTTCTAGTAAGCACCCCCAAGCAATTCTGATGGGCAGCCAGGCTTGAGACCACAGTTCTGCATGGTACTAACACGAGTGAGAGGAACTGTGCCCTGGAGATGACAAACCAGTGAGAAAGACCCCAGGTAAGATGTCACTTAAGCATCTTAAAATTATTGTGTTCTGGAATTGGATACACAGTATTCATAGGCTTTAAAAAAAATGCCATCTCTTCCTGCTATAAGGGAGGAAGAAAGAAAGAGTCCAGGAAACTTCCAATAGAGCTGAGTCCCTCCTCCAAGCTAGCGCCGGAAACCGCAGACACAACCGTCTGACGGATTTTCTAGCTCTGAGATGATAGGATGATCTGATCCTAAGAGTTAGTGTCCTCAGTGTATTGATTCTCTGACCCAGTGATTTGAGGATGCTTCCAGAGCTGACCTGGTGTGGTTGAGGTCTGGTTGGCTCTTGGAAATCCTGCCTTTCAGAGCCAGCTCAGCCCTTCTTCCTGTTTCCCAAGGCAAACACGCTCTTTCCTTCCCAATTCCCCCTCCTGTCCTCTCTCTCCCCCTCATCTTTCCTGTCTCTGCCACAGGTTACCCTCCCTCACAGGGCTGGAGGCTGGGAGAAAGCCTGCATTCATCATCATCCCTGCCCCCTTACTCTGAGCAGGCACTGTGCCAGTGACCCTCCTTGGAAGGAATCTTCCCTCTCTCTGCCCCTCCCCCCAACCAACTGGAGAGCGCAGAGGAAGAAATGGTTTCCCTACCCATCCCCCCCCCCCCCCCCAGGATCTGCTCCAGGGCCTCCTGCCTGCTCTGGGGATTGAGCCACTGGCTGGAGCGGAAGAAACCTCCCCCAGCTTCCTCTCCTGATCTCACAGCCCCCAAATTACAGTCCCCCACTGTTCATGGGCCCCTAGTGGGGGAGGTGTCAAGATGCCCCAGACTGAGTTTGGCTGATTTAGCTGACATTCATTCATTCAGCTTTCAACAATCCTGAAGGCTATGAGAGCCAGGCCCCATGCAAGATTCTCTGCATTCACCCATGAATAAGATGGTGTGCTTTTGCAGAGTGAGATACGGATAAGTAATAAGCAGTTTTTCAAATAATATTAAGTATGTTTAAATGTTCTGGAAGAAGAGTATAGAATTGTCTCAAGCATAGGTCTCCTAGAAGAGATGATGAGGTCTTGACTGAAACCTGCAAGATGAAGAAGAGTCAAGAGAAGAGGGAAGACATATCCAAGCAACAGATAACAGCCTGTGCAAAGACCTGGAGGCTAGAGAACAGGGCATGTTCAGGCTGGCTAGAGAGTCACAGGAAGATATGTTTGGGAAAAGTCCAAGAGAAGGTGACACAGGGCTTATCAGTGTTATAAGAGGCTTGATTTTGTCCTAACACCCTCCTCTATAGCCGCCTCCATTCCATTCATTCATTTAACACACTGTGTGTTAAACGCACCATCTCTTTTAAGGCAATGGAATACAGCAAAATAGTCAAGTCCCCTGTGTCTCAAAGTCTAGAGTCACACAAATACATAGTTATAATCTATGATAATGCATTGAAAGAAACAGATGGAGTGATACGTTGAACAAGGAAAACTGATCTGGTCTTGGGGGACTGGGGATAACTTCCCAGACAAAATGTTTGAACTGAGATCAAGAGTATATAAAGAGTTAATTGAGAGATGAGGTGGGGGTTTAGTGGTGGCCATGGTATTAGCCTACATTTGCCTACGGGGTAACAAATATAACAACCCTATAGTGGGAGAAGGCATGGCCAATTCTAGAAAGCAAAAGTAGTCCAGTGCTCAGAAACAGAAACCATTCTAGGTATTGAAGAAAGTGATGGTCTCTAGGCTGGAATGACTCCCAGAACACCACAGAACTGACCTACCAGTGGAGATACCACCTCTTTCATAGTCAGAAAGGAGCCAGGAGGCCATCACTGGAAAGGCTGAGTTTGAGGACACACTGCGGAAACTGCCACCAAGGACAGGATGCCACTGCCAGTGTTACTGCTAGAACAGTGAAATGCCAATTCCTTGAAGTCAGAGACCATATTCTAGTGTCTCCAAAATCTTACCTACAAGCAAAAACAACTAAAATTGTTTGACTTCTGCCTACTTCCACCTTCCAAACCTCATGCAAGTACACCTAATTGCTGGAACCCTAGCTGCAAGGGAGTCAGGAAGTATTTTTGCTTTTCAGCATGTGAGGCACAGAAGACACATAAACAGTGGAACTGGAAGCAATCCGCCAACTGATCACATCTGGTACAGCCACTGTGGCTACAATGCAGAGACGGGGAGGGAGATAATGCTACAGAGTAAGGCTGGAGATCTTGAGGGTGCTAGGCAGCCTGGTTTAGAATTTGAGTCTAAGAATGATGAGGTGCCACTGAAAGATTTTTAAGCAAGAAAGTGATAAGATCAGGATAATATTCTTAAAAGCCCATTCCATAATACTTTGTAGAGAATGGGTCGGAGGGAAGCCCAAGTGGGAAGCAGTCCAGTTTACCAAGGTGACAGATGAGGGTACCTTGGACCTGGATGATGGAGATTAAAAAAAGCAGGCAGGGTCAAGAGATTTTTAGGAGTTTAAATCAATAAGACTCAGACACAGGCTGGAGGAAAGGTTAAGTACCAAGGATGACACCCAGGTTTCCAGCTTCTGCAATTGGGTAGATGGTGGGGCCATTCCCTAAGTTGCAGAACAAAGGAGAAAATCCAAGTTTGGAACAAAGGTCTTGAGTTTAACTTTGGCTGTGTTGAGTTTGAGGTATCTATAGAGGATGTCTAAGAGAAGGTGTGGAATGGATGTTTCAATATCCACAGGTCTTGGGTTCTAAGGAGGGTTCTGGGCTTGAGAAATAAACATGGATGTCTTACAGCAATGGTTTTCAAACTGTTTAACTGCATCCCACAGTAAGATATACATTTTACATTGAAGCCATCAGATACATACATGTGTATACTTATATATAAAGCAATACGTTTATATATATAAAGAAATAGAATTATACCTGTGGATGGTATGCTCTGATATTTTTTATTCTATTGCTTCGTTCTTTTATAAATGCTTATATGACCCACTAAGTTGATTTTACAATCTCCTAATAGGTCATGAGAAAAAGAGTAGGAGAGAAAGATTATATCAACTCAGATCATACCTTACACAACTCTGACATTGGACAGTTTTCCCTGATGGAAAAGGAGATCATGACAAACTAATAAAGGACAGCCAGAAAGGGAAAAGGAAAACAGGAGCGTAGAGACACATGAACCAAGGGAGGCTAGCTACAAGCAGCAGGGATTAACAACTCTATCAAGTGATGCAAGAGGTCAAGTAAAATTGGCCTTCACAAATGTCAAGATTTGGAAGTCAGGATTGAAGAGTGCCCACTGGATTGAATAATG